AAATAAAGATATGGCATGAGCCTGAATGGACAGGGCCTAACTGATTAGACTTTCAGATAATGTGTAGCACGAGAAAAGGCCGCAGAAGGTGGTGAAGGGTGATCCAAGAAGTGCCATAAGGCGTGTGGTGTCAGTGAAAAAGTTAGAGAATAGGAAGCGTGAAAAGTGATTTTTTTTTTTTTTTTTTGAGTAGGGGAGGGACGTGTAGTGGAAGGGAAATTTCTGACAAGGAAACATTAACATATTAACAAATTAAATTATTTTAGCAAGTTGTTTCCGGTGGGCATGCTAGATGAAGATGTTCTCAAAATATGCAATTTACTTGGCTTTTAAATTAAATGGTTAGTTCTCAGGTCCTTTTCCAGAATTTTTCAAAATAAAGTGCTTAAAAATAAAAAAAATAAAAAAAAGATGGAAAAACATACGAGATTTGCTTGATAAAAATAGATATGATATTGATAATGACAACAAAAAATTATAGACAAATATAAGATGAAAAAATAAACCAAAAAAGCACTAGCGTGCTATTATTATTATTTTACTAGGAGCTTGCACTCTATTAATTGTTGAAGAACTTCAGTATTTTCTGTTGAATGTGTGGCATGCCAAGTGTGTTGTGTCAAATTTGCTGAAGGCAAATGTGTCTGGCTTGCTTAGACTAAATATTGAAGTATTTGGAATGTTTTTGAGTTGATTGAAATTTATGCCTGTTGAAGTCTTGATAGAGATTGTATAGTCATGTGTGTAGAATGTAGAAAGTATGTCTGTACAATTAAAATCGAGAATAAGGACCGGCTTTGGAGGCCCTGTTTAAATAAAAGTTCGAGCTTTGAAAATAAATTTTTTTAAAGTAATTGGGCTTAAGGGCTTGACTCTGATAAGTCCTGTAAAAAAACGCTCAGGCTCGAGTAGCCCTTCAAGCCTTATTATATTATTATTATTATTATTTTTGGTGAAACACGTGTTTAAAACCAATGACCTGCTCACCTAATCCTACACACATTATATTATTATTAATTTTAATTTCTTCTAAAATTAATTTAATATAATTTAATAAATATCAGTGTATAGTATAAAATTTTTGAAATTTTTTATTTTTCTACAATTATTATGTTTGTATATTTATAAAAAATGAATTATTTTTTTAACCAAGATTTAAATTTTATTACTAGACTTCTAAATGTGTGTTGTTTAATTTTTAAAAAATTATAAAAATTTTATTTTTAAAATTTCAAAATATTTTAATTAACTTATAATATTTAATTTTATTTTTATTATTTTTATTTTTTTGAAAAGGGGCTTACGGGCCTGGCCCTGAGCCCTTCACATAAAGGCCGGATTTGAGAAACAGGGTTCAAAATAGGGAACCGAGCTTTAGGGCTCAGGCCCTTAAGGGCCGAACCCACCCGTATTCCCAACTTTATGTACAATGACTTTCCTTTTTATATACAAAAAGAGTCAGTTTTTCCATGATTCTATGCTTTTTTGGGGCCACAAATATTAGTTTTCTGACTTTCTCCAAAACTTACTCCACTTCTACATCCTAAGTGAAGCATTGTTTGACCAAATCTTCCTAAAAATTTTAATAAAATTATGTTAAAATTATCGATTTCAGCCCAAATAGTTGGGCTTGTAATAAAAATTATATTTTAACCCAAACACAAGTTATTTGATTTTTTTTGATATCCTTATAAGATATTAAATTCTTTTAAGCATCCTTCGTTGATATTCTCCCTTCTTCAAATGTACTCGGTCTTTGTACTTATTAATCCAACACCATAGGATACAATTACACTAACGTGTCGGATTCCATTAAAACTTTACAGTTAAGTGTATTTAGATAAAAATAATACGAGAATAGATGACTTCTTTCAAAGTCCTCATGTTACCCCCTTTCTTCAAATAAATTAATTCAACCTCATTGTTTATTCCCTTTTTCTAACATTTATATTTAATAATCATTTTGTAAAATATGCTATATTACTAATTTTGTAAATAATTTTTATTTAATCATTTTTGCCAACAATTTTTATTTCATTTAACTCGATATATTTTTATTCAAATTATGATGTCCTACATGTATTTAAGATATGTACTTCAATTAAAATGATTTTCTAATATTATTTTAATTCTAAGTCTAATATTTAAGAAATTTGTTATAACATTCATATCATTTTGTTCCACTTGGAATGGGAATGGCACCTCACTGGCAACAAGCGTGCTAAAAGAGCTAATCCTCAATCATAGTGTCGTGAATCCTTAGATTTTTTGCCTCAATGTTCTTGAATTACCGAAACTAAAGTAGTAATTAAAATGAGATTTAGAAAACTAAGAAACTAAGCTGCATTGATAGATTTAGGGTAAGCACATGACTTGTGCTACGGGAAATGTAAAAGGTCATAGGAGCAAACTGAACATGAAGTGGATAAATGGGTTACAACGTCGTAATAATACAAGAGTTTCAGTTTTCAAGAGCAGTGTTTTTATTTGAAATCTTTGGAAGGCTGGCTTGTGTCCATTTCCGATCATCCTCCCCCTTTTTAGCATGGGAGCAACCATACCATTTGAATATGTAACTGTTTCGTGCCTTTGCAACAAGAGGTTGTTCCCATTTGGTGATTGACTCACGTCACCCGTTTGCATACGGTGCTCATCATAAAATGAGCACCAAATACTTATTAGGGTCAAGAGCAATTTTGACCCTTCATTTCAACACAAATTGATCCTTACCATTCATTTAAATTAATTTTTAAATATTTTTAATATTATATTTATTGAAATAAAAAATATAAAAAAATTTAATATTAAATTTGTACTATTTAGAATATATATAAATGGTTAATTTGTAAAATTTATAATTTTTTAATATTAAATTAAGTCATCTAAATTATATATGAATTGTCCAAAATCCATCTGAATAATTAAATTGTAAAATTATAAAAAATTTCATTATTAAATTGGTCTACTAGATTAAATTTGTATTCGCCAGATTAATAATGAACATATTTATTAAAATTTTAAAATTTTTTATATTAATAAATATAATATTAAAAATATTTAAATTAATTTAAATAAACAGAAAGGATAAATTTAATCTGAAATAGAGAGTTAAAATTGTTCCTGGCTCTAATGAACGTATGGTGCCCATCACTTGCCATGAGCACCGAAATCGCTCGCGTTATGCTCCATTTCAGTACGGGACGTGGATTCATGTGGAATCCTAGAAAGAGAAGAGGCAATCCACTGTTTCACTTTAGTGTCGTTGCTTTGTGTGATCAATTGGGCTTGTGTGTTACATAATTGTCCACACATCTATATAATTTTGGGCCGAGCATATTTACTAAATTACGTTGAATGATTAATAAAATGGAATGATAAAAATAAATTGAATAAACTAAAGTTATACTCTTTATGATAATTACACAAAAATTATTTTGATAAGACATATTCAAATAAAATTAAGTCTCTCAAAATCAATTTTTAAGGGAAAAAAATACAACAGCAATCATTCGTTATACTAGAAATAAGTTTTGATCATACCCCACTTTTATCTACGGTTTTTACAAACGTTAAAAAAGAAAATGCTTTTGGTGGATTTTTTTCCTTAAAAAAAATAATAAAAACATTTATAAAATTAAAGGCATTGTCAACAGTTCTTAATATATAGAACAGCTAATACAGACGCCAAATTTCAGTATGGTTTTTCTTGAAATGCTTGATATGTTGTAATTGAATTGGAGTGTTTAGATCCAGCATGAGGCAAGGGAGCAAAATGGGATGGTAGACAAATTTTCTAGAGAAAGAACTAACACTTCTCTTTTTGACACGATTCCTGACTTACTTGAGGAACTAATGAATATTGATGGTCCATTTGTTAGGATGGAATTGGAGGGAATGAAGTGAAAGTGAAATTTAGATTCATTTGCTTAATAAAAAGGAATGGAATATAATAAATTGAAAAAATAAAGGTAAAAATAAAATGATTAAATGGAATGGGTGAATATATTTATAAGAAGGAGATGTAATTTATTTTATGAGGTTGGAAATCATGATTCATGAATTTTTTAGAGACTCACATTTATAATATATATTAATAAGTTTTATCATACTTACTATAGGGAAAAAAGTGATTTAGGAGCTTTTTTTTTATTTTTAAAAATAGAAAAAATTTAAAATTTGTTTGGATAAATGCTTTTTCATTTTATTGTTCGTTTTTATTTTTAATTTTTTGAACATTAGGTACTGGAGATCCACAGTATCCTAGGTATACAATTTGCAATATAGGAAGACTTGGTGGATTAAAAAATTGATTCATATGAATTATTGTGTAGCTTTTAAAGTTTGGTTAAGGATTTGAATTCAGAGGAAACTAATTCATTCCCAGTCGAACAGGGTCAATTGACACAAAGTGATAAGGGGCATTTTTGAATTAACAATTCTAATTTCCAGTGTTAATTTAAGAAAAAAACAAAACTATTTGGTTTCTATGTTCTGTTATTGGTCACTGTACTTTGTTTTTGTTACTCCAAGTCTCTATAATTTTTCTCCTCCAACATTAGTTCCTCTATCTATAAATATGCCTACAAGGAAAAAAAATGTGGCACTAATGGTATCAAATTATTTGCTGTATAACTAATAGTGTTAAATCTTGTGCTGAATATTAAAATAAGAAAGAAAGAGAATGTCAACGAAGATCAACAAGAAGATACTGAAGACTCTGTTCAACTACACGAAAACAAAATAAACTTCAACATTAACATTAACCAAAAAAAAAAAAATGGCAATCAATGGCTTCAAAATCCATTAAAAAAGAAAGAAAGAAACAAAGTACCTTAGTATAGGGTGTAATAGTTGTGCTTTTCCATAATTCTAAAAGTATACTTCAACCATATTTTACAGGTTAAGTACTATCATTGACTTATCCTTCATTCTTTTATAATTTGCTTTGGAACGTTACATATTTTTATTCTTGTTGATTATGCATTGTGTTGGAGTTGAAATTAATTGTACAAGCTCCGTTGTAACTTTCAACATAGAATGTTCTAAATAATTTTATTACAGCGATCAATCCTGCCCACTTATCAGATTGAGCATATTGAAAATGAAATAAACTCTAGATTTGTCGCATGTCCTTAATGGCATTGACAATGGTTTTGGGACTCGAAGTAGCATCAACTTTAAGTATTCCCTCAAACTCATCAATCTCAAGCAAATCTAACTGAGATTGCAAAAGAGACGCAGGCATAAAATGGCTTCCTTTGGCCTCTCTTTCATTCAAACGATCCCTTAGAACATGAGCAGGAACATCCAACAGAACAAAACTAACAGTGCTGGCATGACTTCCCCATTTATAATTAGGGTCAGCAGATCGTAGTATTTCTCTATACTGCTTTTTCAAAGCAGAGCAACTTAGAATCACATCCTTTCTATTAGTTAAGTATTCTCTCAAGATATTGCGTAGTGAATTCAACCATGGAATCCGGTCTTCCTCCAAAAGTGGGATTCCCATACGCATCTTATCTGTTGTAATAATAGATGAAATGAAGTGAAATTCCATAACAGGAAGTGAAAAAAAGAGAAAAATATGGAAAAGAATAGCAAGAGGCGTTTGACTTATTGAGCAAAGGATTATTATGAAGATAATGAAATTTTTTGTCCCTCAAATTTATTTCGATTATCAATTTGGTCCCTAGAGTTTGCATCAATTATTTATTTGGTCCTCATTATTTAAAAACGATGTAAGACTGCTAAAATTTGCTAGCATGAAAAATGAAAAATTGATGATAGTCATATAAATTAATAAAAAGAAGTGTAATCATTTAAGTATTAAAAAAAAACTCAAAAATTTCAAAAAAAAAAAAGAATAAAATGCAATGTAAGGAGCTAGATTGATAAAAATTAGAAAAAAAAAACATAATTTTAAATCCTTACATTTTGTTTGAGTTTTGTTATAAGTTTCTATATTTTTTTTGATATTTTAAGTCTCTATATTTTTATTTTTCAATGTTTTAAATTCCTATAACACTGTTCATGGAGAGATCTAGAACACAAAAAAACAAAAGTATAGGATCCTAGAATATTAAAAAAAAAAAGTGTAGGAATTTATAACAAAATTAGAGTAAAGTATAAGGACCCAACGTTATATTCTCCCTAAAAATTAAGTTGATTTAAGGGTTAATTTTTTTTTCATTTAGTTACATAAATGTATCAAATCATCAATATACTTTACACATTAGATTAATTTAAAAGTCAATTCATATTTAAAAATTTAAAGGATTAACATGATAATTTAAGAAAATGCTAAGGACCATAAAAAAAAATAATAACAGACTTGAGGAATTAAATCGAAAACTGAGACAAATTTAAAAAACTAAAAGTTTCATTATCCTTTTATTATGAGACAAAACACTAAGCTTTGCAATTGTGCACACACCTTTGTTTGATTGGGAATGAAAATCATCAGCATCAAGATAACTGTAATTCAACTCTTTCGCCAGCATCTGACCTATCGTGCTGTTGAGTAAATATTTAGTAGTTGAATAGACAAGAAAAGTTAACACGGCTATTGGGAAGTACAATTATAAAAGAACGTGTTTAAAGTTCAACATTTTTGTCAGTCTGATTTTAACTCAAAATGAGAAGTCCAACTGAGACATATTTAAGAAAGATCATGCTTTCTGTGCATATCTTCCATAAAAACTCAATCTGACACGTTAAAGCAATAGCCAATAACAAGAAACAGTGACAGAAGAACAACAAAGCTTGGTTTCACTAAGTTCACGAAGAGAGGTACAAACACTCATTTCTTGAGGACCAATTACATTATTCTGAAAACTTCATCCATGCCAAATCTAGAAAATAGTGTCTTGGAAAGCAGTTAAAACTCCAAAGAGTCTTGTGGCCCTTGGCAAAAACAGGAAAAGAGAATGTACATTCAAACATGGAGCATATACTTATCACTGGAACAAGTAATCAAGCCATCCTCTTTTTCTTTTGGGGCACATCTTGAACCTTATACCTTATGCCACTAATTGGGGACTGAGTTAACAATAGATGACATCTGATTTGACAATAGTGATTTCTTCATAACTAGTCAGTAAATTTGCATCTCAAATCTAGTCTCACTCTCAACATTTCTTATCACTTCTTAATAGCAGAGTGAACACATTTGGAAGCAAAAAACATACAAAAAAATAAGTGAAACTGAAATGACAAAATGACATTCTGAAATACCACATTGTTAGAAATTTCAGACCAGATGGTGCATAGCATAAACTGTCTCATTGAAGATTGTATGACTTACGTGTATTCATAGTATGGAAATCTAAATTAACCCACACAAGGTGAACTGATAAACTACTAAACCAGCTCATTAACTGGATTAATAAAATATTTTGTTTATGATCGATTTAATTACATTTTGACTACAATTTTGATTATTAATCTTTGAACCAGTATTTTGACGGATCTGGTTTTTATTACCTTGCGTGTATTCCATGGTTTTCTTAGCTGCTGGGGAGTTCACAATTGAGACAAGACCCTATGCAGTTTAGTTTTAAACTGAAATGGTCAGAGTTAAGTGATTTACCTCAAACTTGAAGCCACAATATCTTTTATGGTTCAAGTTACCTTTCCTTCCAAATCATGAAGTCAAAAGTTAATAGTTGATAACAGTTAGAAAAATGTTAGCAAACAACGGAAGATAGTTGCGTTGCCATCACTTCCCATCTAGCTGTATGAATTTTTCCATTGCTTATCTCCAACACATTCTCAATGAAGCATATTTGTCATAATCTCTAGACGTCAATATATTTTGTGAACTAATGGTTTTACTCGTGTCTTCTAATATGAAATGCAAAAGTCTGGAATAACTAATGTTCACAATTCTAAAAGCTCTTAGGAAACCTATTAATATATTGATGATAACGAGATGAATATTCAAATAAAAATAGTTTTGGCAATCAATACTCGTACAAAACCATCAATCAGCAGATAAATCCCATTTGTGTTATCTATGAAACAAATGAAGAGGTTTAGCTATTATCAAATTCTTAAGAACGCTATGTGCTACTGCTAGCTCTTTTAAAGCTAGTTAGGTCTTTTAAAGCTATTGACACTGCTAAAGATGCCAATAAACATGAAATAGATAGATAAGAAAAGAATAGTGGATCCTCTTAATATAATTTCATAAATTCGGCTGAATTCTCTCTTGAAAAAGCTTGGGATCTTGGGAAGTGAGATTAAGAAATTTAAAATTTAAATCAAATGAAGTAAACTCTGAGATTCAGATTCAATCCCAAACAAGATAAATTTGAATCAAGGTTCCATACTTACGTTTTCCCAGAACCACTGACGCCTCCAATTACGACAGCAGAGCCTAAAACCACAAAGAAATCAATCGAATCCAAATTATTCTTTCAATTTCAGAATTAATTAAAATCGCATACCATTGCTGGAAGCCATTATTGATAAGTATCTTAGAATTCGTACTCAGAACGGTGGACCAACAAAGGCACAGACTTCCCTCCTGTGTCTAAATTCTAACCTTTCGTCAAAGCTGATACTTGATCTATCTTCCCCCTCATCCAACCGTTGAGCTCATCAATGCATCATGATGCGTCACCTAGCCAATACCCAGAAATGATCTATCTATTCCCTCCGGGAATGAAGGTATATATATTTATTTTGGATCAGAAAGTGTATTTTTGATCAAAGTTGAAAGTGTATTTTTGATCTTGTGGAGAAAGAAACAGTGAAATACGGTAAGATCAAAGTATATAGCAGGATATGGCCAATCACACTTAAACTATGGAATGGAGAATTGCGGAAGATTATGAAGGAGAGGAGGATAGCTCTAGGAGCAAGACCCGATTAGGTTGCACAGATATAGATACGGATATTGCATATAATACGGCACGATGCAACGATGTAGTGAATTTTTAAAATTTTAAAATACAGGTATAAGAATATATAAATTTGTTTAGATAAATGTAAGCAACATGCCAACTATCAAACATATATAGCAAACTAATAAAATATAAAATATTATCAAATATATCACATTTTATCATCCTTATTTTTCATTATATTATTAGGGTTTTTTTATAATTTCTTGCTTTACAATAAGTTCATCAAGTGACAAGCTTGTCATCTCAAGGCTATTGATAGCATTAAATGGCTCCATAGTGTCTTCACCAGTATCCCACATTCCACTTTGTCTAATGCGATACTTTTCACTCTTCCTTGACAAGAGACGAAGATTAGTATGCAAAAAAACTAAGTCTTTAGCTCTTTTAAGAGTGATCTTATTTCTCTTCAATGAGTGAACAAAAAAGTAAGTGCTCCAATTTCTTTCACAACAAGAGGAAGAGCACAATTGACCTAAAAGTTTCAATGCAAGCCTCTGAAGAATAGAGGTGAAAGAACCATAATTTAACCACCACTATTTAGGTTCTAAATTTCATCTATCTTGTAAGCAATCAAATGATGAACAGAAGTTTAAACTCCTGGCAAATTTTGGGAACTCTTGAAAAACTGCCTTTAGGATCAGTAAAGTCCTAAGAAGGCACTTTACTTTCTCAGATGATATTTCATTATCTAAATGAGGCAGAATTCTATTGAGAGCACCTTCAAGCCATTAGGATATATAATACTTTTAACATTTGCAAACAAAAAGTATTAAGAACAAAACTAAATAATTTATGAATGATAAACATTGTAATAGTAATATTACTAACCTAGGATTCAATGAATGTGCAAGAAAATGAAGGGGAGTGCAACTCTTTGTCCATCGATCAATAATGATCCTATAAACAACATCATAGAAAGCTAAATACTCAGAAAGCTTATTATTCTCACGCTTGTAGGTGGACTCATTCACTTGTTCTATCATTGAATCCCACATTTCATAAATTAAATAAAGCATGGGCTTATTTATGTCAGCCATTTGAAGCATGTTATAAATTGGTCCAGTGAAAGAAAATATATAATCCATCTTGTCCCACCAAGAGTCATTAAGAATCAAATTTTTCATTGTGGTTGGCTTTCCAACATCATATTCCTTATAAGCATTCCATGCTTCACTTATCACCATTGTACGTGAAGTTTTAATGAGCTTGAGTCTTTTAAGTATAATAATGGTGGATGCAAAGTGAGTGTCAGGTATGGCAAGTAATTTTAATGGCACAAATTCATTAAAAATTGCCAATCGCATAGAATAACACATGATAAATGTTCTAATAAAAATAGCATCATCCTTAACCTCCTTTATCCAATGACATTCATCATACACAATCTCATTTGCCTTTGTGTTCTTTGCTGCACATATATTCTTTAATGCAAGATTAAGCGTATGCACAACATATGGCGTCCAGAAAATGGTAGGATACTTGGCCTCTATAAGTCTACCTGCTGATTTGCAAATAGATGCATTATTAGTGATTATTTAGACCACATTCTGAGGCTTGACCTCTTCAATCACTTGATGCATCAGATCAACCATATAATGTTTGTTTTTATATTCTTTAGGTCCATCAACTGCCTTCAAAAACATGGGATCCCTGTCAGACACAGTCATACAATTAATTAGAGGCCTTCTTTGAGCATCTGTCCAACCATCTATGACTATGCTCACTCCTTTCAAACTCCAAGTTCCTTTAATTGGTTCAAGTAACTTCTCTGCGTGAGATCTTTCTCTTTGTAACAATGGACCTCGTAATGTATTATGATCAGAAGGTTTGTATCTCGGAATGATGTTGATGGTAGCATATTGATATGAACTAATGAAATATGGATTGCATGCCAAATGAAAGGATAGACCACCTATATAAAACATTCTTGTAATTTCAACATGTATATTTTCTCGTGCCCTTTGTTGGAAGGCTTTTTCTAATGGACTTACTGCCCTTTTCTTGCTTTGGTTACATTCACTTGTCAAAGGGTGTAAGAGAGATGAACCTTCAGCCAGGGGTGGTAATGGCACTTGCTTTGGCTTGGTCTTATCATCAGCATCTTCTTATAATTTTCTCATCTCAGTTAGGCAATACTCATCAACTTTCGAGCATATAGAAATTCCCTTGCTAGAAGTTTTTAACAAGTGCCACTTAACTCTAGAGTAAGAGCCATTAAATTATTTCTTACAATAATTACACCTCCAATATCTATTTCCACCCCTTGGTATGTCTCTATTTTTATTCACCTAAGTGACATAGCACCATAAGGGAGTTCCATCTTTTTGTAGCTCATTTATAGACTAGAACTACTTGTTGAAGTCATATCTAATTAAAAAAATTGAAATAAACTAAAATTAAATATGACTAAAAGCATTGAAATGTAGATTGAGATTTGAGCAAAATAATATGTAATATAAAAATAGAAAGCAAGTGGGCATTGAATATAGATTCTGTGCATGAACATTGCAATCTAACATATTAAATTAACGAATAAAAGTGAAATTTAAAGAAGAGGGATAGAAGAATAGAGTAGAGCACGAGCTTCGATAAAAAAACAAAGCATGTGAGTTGAAAAAAATATAAACGCAAGCATTGAGCGAGTAGTTTGAGATGAAATAAAGAGTGAGCAACATAATAAAATAACAAACTCATTTTAATTTTTAGTTTCAATGTGAGAGTTGAGAGTTGAGACACAGAGAGAGAGAGAGAGAGCAGACTAGTGAACGGATGAAAGAACTTGGACTTGATGTTGATGAGCTGAGCAACTAAGAATGCATTCACAGCAGTGCAAATAAGAAAGCACGGTGACTTGTCCCAAGGGTTTGCGAAGGAGCATGATGGCGCGATTTGGGACTCAGTGTAAGAGAGCGACGGTCGACTAATTTTGTGAGTTGGGAGAGAATGTCAGAATGGAGAATCTGTGAGTGTGAGGTTTGATCTGCTTATGCTTTGCAAATTAGGGCTTTAGGCAATTTTTTTTATGTAAAACGTAGCGTCTCGCGTCGAAGCCGTGTCAGCCATGTCGAAGTTGTGTCATGTCGTATTGCATCGTGTCGCCCAAACAAAAAACATATCAGACATGGACGTACTTATACAGAGCGAGTGTCCATGTTTGGTGTGTATCCGACACGAATACGCCACCAAAATCGACGTGTCCGTGCTTCCTAAGACCCTGAACATGCATTGCTTTAATCATTTTTTTCAAAATTACATTTATAGAAAATTAATAAAAAATAAGGATCATTGATAAGTTTCCCTCGAAACAAAATAAGTCAAGTTTTCATTTTAATAACAAGCCATTTCACATTGATCTTTGTGATTAATTTTCTTGAGAGGAAAATAAATGTGTTTTTCCCTTATTTTTAAAAAAAAATTAAGGAAAAATTGTCCAAAAATTTCTCCCTACGAAGTACTAAATTTATTGCTCTTCATGCAACATTTGCAAAGACCAAGGTCTTTCGAAATTTACAATCAGAATACAAGATTAACTTGATGAATATCTTGTTTAAACTTATTTTAAAAAAAAAAAAACTAGCATTTATTCCCACATGCATTGTACAGGAGCATTTCCTCAGTATTAAATTTAATTTTTTAGAGTTGTTTGTACAATAAAAAACATAAACTTTATGAATTTCATTTGATGTAATTATAGTGTGATTACAATCTACAAAAATGTTATCAATAATGTTTGAAATTTATTGAATAAGGAATAAACATGACAGTAACTAATAAAATTAGAGGACGATATAATTTTTAAATCAGTAATTTTCATTCCACCTTTCTTGTATAGTTTGAAGTATTTTTGGATACACTAAACTATTGCTATATTTTTTCTGGTTTTTTTATGGTCAAATAGAAGTAATTTTAACCCATCAATGCTCTTAACTCTAGACAAAGAAACATAATTTCTCTTAACTCAATCAATGATACAATTCATTCAAGTTTTATTGTGCTTGAAATCAAACCCTGATATTTCAAAATAGGGATAATATCCAAGCAATTATCCCTATGAACGTATAGGTTAACTGGTAAAAAATATTTAAATAATGTATACTCCTTCTACAATTGCGCCCCACAGTGGAAGTAGGAAGAGAGAGCAATTTGTGTGTGAGAGGAGCTAAAGACGATGAGAGAGTGATGAAAAAAGAAAAGCATTAAAAAATTGATTTAAATTTTGACAAAATCAATTATATTAAGATATCTTTTTAAGATATGTGACAACATTTAAAATATGATCAATTTTCAACTTTGAAACTGATAATGCATAGAAAAATGAGGTTTTTTTTTTTCAAAAAGTCTAATATTAATGATATGTGCACAAAGCCTAAAATTAAGCCACTATTGCACAAAGTCTAATAAAAAACTTTTGGCTCTATGAACAATAAATTGAGTCTAGAGCCATATGCTATTTTTCAAGCTTTTGACTTGGTGGAACTACTATTAAGGATATATTAAATTGATTATTGATATTGATATTGATGATAATGATGATGATTTGGACTTGAAAAATCAAGAATTTTTAATGTAATCAAGCTTCTAAATCTTTAAAAAATGGATTTGAGTTCATCAAGCCCATATTTGTACTTTTTTACTTCCAACTATGCATTCAAAATCCTTAAAATTTTTTTCTTCTTTTTGTAGAATTTTCCTACATTCGTCTCTAATGAATTTGTCATCTACTCTAGATTTTTTGATAACATACTCGGTGGGATTTTATTTTTAATGTTATTTTACAATTAGTTTGTATTCCATTCAACAAGTGAAAGTAAAAAGCCTTCCTTGCTCATCCACCTAATATTAGACTTAGACTTATATATCCGTTTCTTTATTTAAGAGTTGTCCTCTCTGAGAGAGATGAGTGGGGTTTCTAGTGTGAGAGAGAGTGGGATCTCAACTGCGGGCAAGGGTTCACTTTGAGCTTGGTGGTCGACGATGTGAATGTTGCACTGAC